CGAAAATTTATACCTTTATTTTGGAGAATTGTTTTCACATCAACATTATCGAATTCCTTTCCTCCGTCACTAAGAAATTCGATGATTTTAACATCTGCGGCTGTGGCTTCATTAATGAAAGTCTGCAAAGAAGATGCAACTTCGGACTTTGATTTAATAAAAAATACTCGACGAAATTTTGAATAATCGTCTGTAAAACAAACAAAGTATTTCGCACCGCCCAGGGAAATTTCTTGCATCGGCCCACATACGTCACCATGAATGATCTCTCCTGGCTTAGTAGGTCTGTGTTTGCGGGACTTTGTTGAAAACTTTTAGATCTGCTGTGTGCTTGGTTATCTCGTCCGCAGTAGCTGTTGGCAGTAGTTCTGGCATAATGTTTTCACCTGTCACCACCCCTAGGACAAGAGCTCAATCTGGCGCCTCCACTTGGTCCAACTTGAAGCTTCCTCAAGTTTTTCAATTTGCAATGATTTAAACTCCATCGCAAATATATACGTTCCTCTTCGTACTTTGTCACGAATTAACTTAAAACTCTCTAGTTATGTTTTTTATTTTTGAGGTATCTGGGCCCATAACCTGTTGCGATTTAACCAACTGTAAAGGAGAGTTTTAAACAATAAATGATTATTAATCTGGAATAACTTTTATTAATTGAAAATTGAAATTTACAAAAACTTGACTTATATCAAACATTCAACATCAAAACTTTTTTTCTAACATATTTCTAACATATCGCACTATGAGTACAAGACCACCATAACTCAAAATTAATCGATTTTGAGATTTGTGCGGTATTATAGTGTTCTAGATGCTAACTTTGATAATACAATACCAACATATCTCTAAATCGAAAAAATGTCCTATAAATAACAGAAGTGGTACTATTGAATTTTTCCTGAAAATACTTTTTCTGATACAACATCAACATAACTAAATTTTGCTTAAGGACGGGGTATCCCTGTGTACTAAAAGTGTATGTGTAGACCAAAAGTTAAATCGACAGTTTTCCGAATATGTAGTGTTTAAAAATCTAATTTTTGGCCAAATTAAAAATAAAGGTCTAACTTAGGTCACCTTACTATTGAAAATTAATAAATTTATTATTTTCAATAAAAACCAATCATGTAAAATAACCCCCTTTTATTTCATCTCAAAGGTGCCGTGTAGAATTATTTTAACCTCGATGTCAGACAAATAATAAAAAAAATGTAATACGACCTAAGTTCAACTTTTACTTGGAATTTGGTACACTCAGAATATTTAAATATTGTATATTTTTCAAAACGTGTAGATTTGAAATTTATAAGTCACTTTCTTTGAAAAAACATGTCAAAACGAATTTGGACCAAAAATGGCGTCTAATTTAACTCTAAATCAACCCCGAAAAATCAATAATTACTTCATGTAATGTAATAAAGATGGTGCTCCGATCGATAATATTTTGACTAGTATTTGATTATTTCCGTTTATATTATGTGTGTTTACGGGGGATATACGAGATGATAATACTGCCTCCGATACTGTTTATATGATACAATTGGAAACGACCTTTTTTCATCGGCACTCTTTTTTCGCCGGTGACCTTTTGACACGCGCCTATTTGTTATATGATGTATGATTATCGGTTATTTATCAACTAAAAGTATAGGAAGTTAGTACATTGTGAATGATAATATCATTTTAATGCTATTTTTGAAACTAGTTCAAAAGTTGCATTTAACGATACTCAATGTTTCATTTTACCGTCAGTTTTAGTTTGACATATCCGTCATTTTATGTTTAAAAAGCTCAGTTTCTATTCGAAAGTAAGAGAAACAGTCAAAATAAAATGCGAAAAACACTTTTTATCAATTTCGTTTATGTCAACTGAAAGCGACAATTGCTGAAGACGTAACAAATAAATTAGGTCGAGAAATAAAAAAATCTATACTATAAGTAACATACCATATATTATACCTGTTAAAATAAATCAAAAATAAGAGAACATATCGTTGACGTATATACTTTTCCATCTGTGATTAGTGATTACCAATTGCAAATTACGTATGAACATGCTTCTGCGCAAAAAAAACCATTATTTCAAGTACTTGTATCATTAAAGTTCATTAAATTATTATTTTTATAAATTTGCTAATCTTTGCACTTTAAGTTTCATTATATGGGGTATCCAGACATTTTAATCCTCGTCCTCTTCTATTTAAAATTATCTCAGGTGCCATATATTCCGAGTAAAATTTTTCTAATTTTTCAACCATATTTAAAAAAAAAAATGGGTTGAATATGAATTTTTTCAACAAATATTGGATTTTCATCTCCAGTATATACTACAAAGTAGCACAATTTTGTTTGAGCTATACCTAGCTGTCCTTGAATCTAAAAGTATATAAAATCATTATTAGAAAATCAAACATAAAAAGAATATTAATATTGTAGTATCATTTCTTAAAAATCATGAATTATTTTAACATATTGAAATTTTTCACCTGGTAAAAGTAGTTATGGTTTTCTTTTAAATGAATGTCACCATCTTCTATTTTTAAGCATGGAAATGGGTTTGAATATTAGGTAATGTGCGCCAATAATGTCAAATTATGACAATTCGCAGAAAACGTCAACTTTTTATTTAGATTTTAATGTGCAAAAGCCTACCTACTTTGGATATTGATCGTAGAAAAAATATATTCAGAATAATGAAACATTATTATTAAATAACAAGTTTTTTTATTGTCAAATTTAATACGTAATATTATTTTTTAATTGCAAATATTTGAATGTTAAAATTATAGCGTTTAATTTTTTTATTCAATGACGAACTCGAGAGTGATAGAAAAAAAATACTACCTACCTTTAATGCAGGAAGTCGATGTCAATTTATCCAAAAATAAAACCGATTAAAATGTACAATGAAACTCACTAGGACACTTGGCACAAATAAATCAATTTTCTATTAAAGAAAATAACACTTATTTTATTAAAAACAAACAGCACAATAAAACACTTCAGAAACGTGTGATGTAATTTTGAAAACTAAATACCCGTAAGCTTGTTTGTAAATTTATAGACTCTTAACTCCTTCCCCCAGCCTTCATTAAGTATATTAAAAGTCGTGACGTCATATTGGCACAGATATACGGTAATGTGTTATTGACAATCAGGGACATGTTTCTAGGAAATAACTACCTAAGATAAGATAAGATAAATTAATGTTAAATACCTACTCATAATATCTATTGTAGGGTTTTTGTACTTTAATAGGATAAATATTTATGCGGGCCTGGAAATTCCAGGAAATGACAGTCAAAATTACCCAAAAACATTAGGTTAGTACCAACATCAGATAACAGATAACTTCGGTATTTAACCAATTAATCACAATTAATATTCTTGAACATTCAAATGACAAAAACTTCCATCTTTAACCAATGAGAATATAGTTTTCATTCGATACTTCAAAATCACAATTTATTAATTAGGTAGAATAGTTTTAAAATATATTGCGAATTGCGACACGTCAAGCGTCCCACACCGACTCAATGTGACGCAATTATTGTGGCAATATATTTTGAAACGACTCTATATTCGTGATTTGAAATTATAAAAATCCCTCGTATTACTACCCGTATATAAACCAAATTATTTGTTTTAGGAAATATTTATATTTAATGTGAGGCAAGATATCGTTTTTGTTGTTACCATCTGCATCTACATTCTTTACTTTGGTCCAGGAAACAAAGTCAATTTTCGATAAAAATAAAATGTAATAGGTAGGTAATACTTTATGAAACAGTACAATAAAAGTATTGAAATAAAGTATGCTCATACTCCAAAATGAGTCCTAGAGTTAACATTTTTATAATATTATAAATGGTACGATTGGACCGTTTTCACAATCACGAAATAATTTTTTTTATTTGGTAAAATCCCGGCAATTATTGAAAAATAGATTTTATGTTCAGGACTATTATTATGATCCTTCGAACTCAGTCTACTAAAAACCGGTTTATAATTGCCGCGTTTGAGAATCCACATCCGATGCATCTGAGATGTAAAAAATCTTTGATCACGTGATTCAGTATACGTAAACGTAATGGGATAGATGTGTCCGATGTGGATAAAAAAACGCTCGAGATGTAAAAAATGCATCCGATGTGGATTCTCAAACGCAGCAAATACAATATAATACAATATCCCCTAATAGCTAGTCGGTCGATATTTATAGTTACTTAAAGATTTCTGTAATAATTTTCACTAATTCAATCTCTAGTCGGTAGGTAACAGCACCTCCTTGATTGAATCTAAATTGACATAATTTTGTTCAGAAATTCCTAGGAGACGCTGTCCTTAATAACTAAAGAGAAGGTCATAAAAGAGGGTTTAAAGAATCATGAAATCCAAATAAATAAAAATTTAATAGATAGCATTTAAAAAACTGTAAAACAAAAAATCTGAAAACTTTAAACGTCATTTTCTCAGTTGATTGATTTTTGAGTTATGGTGGTCTTGTACTCATAGTGCGATATATAATGATGGTGGGTGAGGTTTTTCGGGTTTTCCTTACCTGTAAATGAAATGGCACCATCAATCATCTTTAACTCGCCCCGGAGCGCCTCGGCAAATAATAATAATAGCCGTCCCTTCCCCTACACAAGTTGTTTAGTCGAATTCAGGGGTTGAAATTCACTCGTAAGGGGGTGAATTAGGAAGAGTATTATTAATATTATCTGGAATTCCACAAAGCTTTACAGTTCTAATCCCAGTGGACAATTTATACATATTGTATACAATTCGTGTGTAAAGGCTTTTATTAACGAATGTAAATATTATCACATATTCACACATATTATATCACACAAATAACTACACTATTATGATGCCCGTCAATTTTATGCGATATTGATTTGAAATTTTCTTTATTCAATTTCCTTAGTTCTTGTTAAAATGCACAGCGCAAAATAAAAAAGAAATAGTTTTTTATAGATCATTACATTTCTACTTACCATCCATTATAAGCGAAGAGTCCTGAATAAAATGATAACGCCAGTGAAGTGATTTCGTGCTTCGTATTCATAAAAGTGAAGTGTTCGGTGTGTCCTGTAAAACAAAAGTGTGTTGATAAAGTTACGGTTAAAACCGTTAAAACTCTAAAATCAATATATCCATCTTTTCTTTATTATTCATAAACTAAAGCTCTAAACAGCTCAACAAGTTTATAGATAATGAGAGATAACTGGAATCGTGGCTGAATTATTATTAATTTAAATGCAGGGCACGAAGGGCAATATATTTTTTGATGGATTTCAATAACGAGAAAATAGAGTAGTAGATGTGAGCCATTTTAGTCTGCACACTACTGATGGTCTAGTTTTTTGATCAAGTAAAAAAGGCGTCTTCATTATCACTTGGTCTAGTTTGCATTATTAATAAAAACATTACAATTACATTCAAAGGTAAATTTTTAATTAAAACTTTTCAATTTTTATGAAATAAAGAAAAGAACTGGAAATTTTGTCGGAATAAATTCCTGAATCCAGGGGGATAGAAAAAACAATTGAAAAATTGAAAATACTTGCTCCGGGAACTACATTGAAACTACACTGACCGACACAAAAAGAGAATCACAGATAATTTTTAAAATATTTCATCTATCTTTTATTTTTTGTTGTTGATAAGCATATTTTTTATTGTCAAGTTGCTAATAAGTATATTTGGCGTATTTTTTGTAACTTGTTTATCATTTTATCATTTTTTTAGGGCCTAAAATTATTTTTATGGTTATTTTTATTTCAGTTTGAAATTAGTTTTCGACTTGCGACCTTCGGTATTAATTTATTTCGTCCTAAATTTAATTAATTAACGTAGATTTATTCAAATAATAGCACTCTCACCAACATATGCTGCTCGCGCCATTGCTCTTATTGAGGATGGTCGTAGTCAGCGTTATGTAGCTAATCTTGGAGTATCACAGGCGAACATCCATAGAACATATAGGCGTTTTCTTGAAACTGGGAATTACACTAGAAGACCTGGTTCGGGCATGGCAAGATCCACATTGCTTGTAGACGATCGTTTTTTACATATTTTTATTCTTCGACATCGGGATGCCACTGCTGTTCAAGCAAGACATCGACTTAAAAAAGTCCGGGAAGTGAATGTAAGTAAGAGAACAGTAAGAAGACGCCTGAATGCAGTTGGTTTAATTGCTCGAAGGCCTGCCAATGCCCCAGAACTTCTCCCACATCATCGAGTAGCTCGTAGCTCGTCTTCAATTTGCTCGAGAGCACCTTCATTGGAACATAAATCAGTGGAGTTAAGTGCTTATTCTGACGAGTCTAGATTTTGACTAAGATCACCTGAAGGGTATGGAGAAGAGCTGGAGAAAGGTACGCACAGTGCAATATCGTTCCACGGGTTAGTTTTAATGGTGGGTCGGTAATGGTTTGGGAAGGCATCACTACGGACTACCGCACGGAGCTTGTCGTGGTGGAAGGAGGATCATTGAATGGAGATCGGTACATAAAAGAAGTTTTACAAGATCACGTCATTCGATTTGCACCTCTAATTGGCAACAATTTTATTCTTATGCTTGATAATTCTCGACCACATATTGCCAATGCAGTACGTCAGTATCTTATTGACGTCGGTATTGAGACAATGATGGGCAGACAACTTAGATCGCGTGTACCAGCTCCAGACACCTTGGAAGAACTTAGAAATATGCTAATTGACATATGGGAACAGTTGGACTAAAATAGCATAAAACACTTGGTGGAAGAGATGCACAGACGTATGGAAGCTTGTATTCAAGCCAGAGGGGGCAATACCAGTTAATAATTTAATTTTTTGACATGTATAACTGATTTTATATGGTTATCTGAATATTTGTTTGCCACTTTATTTTTCTTTTATTTTATTAAAATGTTAATGATTTTTGTTATTACGGATCCAAGCTTAAATAAGTGTTAAATAATCTTAACAATAATACACCTTTACCAAATCCAAGCCAAAGCAAAAATAAATATACATTTTATGATTTTAAAGAAAATATTTTAGTGATTCTCTTTTTGTGCCGGTCAGTGCATAACCCTGCCAACGTTAAACAATTAATGCAAAACATCAAAACTTAAATATAATGCAAAAATTCATTGATTCAATGTTTGATGATTATTAATATGTTATTCGTCTTTAAAATAATAAATTGTTGTCATAAATCCATGAAAAGCTAACATAAAAAAGGCTTTTGCTTGCTCGCAGTGCCTGAAGAGAAAGAAAGGTGGCACCACGTAAATTGCTCTGGACAAAGCGGACTAATATGTAACGGCAGCCGTGACGAATGGAAATTCAAGAATTACATGATTCGGGCTACTTTTAAGTGATACAGATTTGAGTTAATATTTTTTATATTATTCCATGATCATGGTTTATTGATTTAACATACAACAATCTTAAATAATTAATGTCTATCGTTCGTAATATTAAATTTAAAGTATAACCGTAATAAACTAATATATATCGTACGTAATATTAATAACCGGATATCATAGATCCATGCTCATTGTTCACTGATTTATGTCATAAACTAATGTATATTAATTGATAATAATAATAACCAGCAAACATAGATCCATGCTTATTATTCAATGATTTACTTTAACGTGCCCCATTATAACTTAATAAGCAAGAAAATTTACGTACGACCGTTCATCGGCTAACAATTAATGTTTTTAACCTTTGATTCAATGTACATTTTTTATGATATCACGTACCTTTTTCGTTCAGTGTACACATTTTGTGTAACATTTTTATTTTATTTTTATCGTTATAAGTTATAAGCAGGTAAGACATAGTCCAGACCACTGCGGCCTCTTGATCTATTGCATTCCTATGTTTTTCCCATATTCAGGTACTATTTTAGAATAGTCCTGTGTCTTTTGTTAGTTTGTGGATCCCTACCAAGGGTTCCTGGCGAGCTGTTTTCGATTCTAGACCGAAACAAGTTTGAGATTCATTTCTCATATGTAAAGTTTACACGTGATGGGACCATTGTGTAATTCACATGAATGTGTTTCAGCAAGAAGTGTCTCGTTAGTTATCCAACAATAGTTGTTATCTGTTGCTTTGTCAGCTGTAGTGTAGCAGCAGCCATTCGTGGGTTTGGTCCCTTTCAGACATGCACATGCGTTATGCATCTGTTCACTGCCTGTCCAGCAGAGATTTTGCTTATCCCAAACACAGGTTCTGGTGCTGTGAATGGTAGTTCTGATTTCTGATCTCTCTTTGGAGGGCTCATTAGCCTTTTCATTTCCTTAAACAGGTAATGACTTGCAGGATATTTGTTGAGTAAGAAATTTCCTTCAAATAGATCATAATACATTTATTTCTGGTTTTTTAAGTTCTAATTTTTTAATGACTAGTAATTTTTAAAATATTAAAATAATTAATTAAAATCTATAATATCTATAATACCCCATATTTAATTTTTGGTTAGATCAGATATTTTTAGTATTTTTTCGGTATTTTATATTTTCCTTTTTCATCAATCACACTGTACACTACTTCCCTCTTATGTTTAATCATTAAATATACGTTTATAGCGAATTTTAGTAGTAGTCGAAGCATGACAATCCGAAATCACCCTTCTGTAAACAGATTAGTTCTACTTTTATGGGCTGAGAATTCGCATTTGCAAGGATTTAAAATAATATTGTCTGCAGTTGCATATCCGCAGTTTATTATTTTGTTTTAGTAAAGAAATCTCTGATGATTAAAATCACAAAGCGTTCCATTTGAATGAAGTTTTACTAACTATACGATGTATTCTATGAATTGGCTAAACATTTTTATTTCATTTTTAGAGTCTTGATTAGGCCTGCCATCACCTTAATTTCCAACCTTAATAACATTTGGGTGAAATTCAGGTTTCCCTAGACATCCTTGAATTTTTTTTTACAACAAAAATAAACAACATTTTCATATTTTTATTATTTTAAATAGCTTATTTGCGATTAATTTAGCAACGTTTGGTAAAACCTACACAAAAAAGGGCAATTGACCATTCGGTGGTTGGGTATTTTTGTCGTGTGCGCCAATTTATTGCTTGTCATTTAAATTTCGTGTCCCTCTGACATAATAAGTAACCGGATTTTACCTGGACACGTTTTTGAAACTCCACCCGGACGCTCCCCAGACACTCCTCGGACGCTCTCCAAACTAGACAAATCCGACAAGATGGCAGCCCTAGTCTTAATGCCTATGTAGTTTTCCTACTCTCCTATTGACTGTCAGAACACTTATAATGTTCTTAAAATGGCACTGGGAAGCAGTATGAAGTAAATGTTAGTGTGTAACAATACGATACTGGATTATACAAGGTGTTTCAAAAAAGCATGGCGAAAGTGATACAGCTGATAAAACTCTGAACACTATATTACAGGGCGGAAAAAATTGATTATTTCCCATAACTTAATAAATTTATATATTATTTTACTAAACTTTGCAGACAGCTGGGACCCCTTAACTCCCCACGCTCGTTTATTAAGAATTTCCTACTAATTTTTCAAAAATCAATTATTCATATCATTTATGATGTTTTTTTAATACCTTGTATCTATGTACCTTTGTAAAGTTAGAATGGATTAAAGGCTAAAAGGAAATTTGAGAGCTTACCTTTAAATAATTCATAACCTCCGGCTGCAATGATTATAAACAGAGCCAAGAGTTTGGCATAAGTGAAAATATCTTGAACTCTAGTTGCCCATTTCACATCGTAACAATTAACAAATGTTAATAAACCTGTAACAAACAAAAAAAAGTTTAAGGTATTTAAAAATAGTTTGACATTGATGCACTTTTCAACCCTCTTCGAGGCTTGTATGCGAAAATAGAGCACCTAAATCTGTCACTATCTGACTGTCTAAATTAAAAAATGATGGATTCATGATGCTACAAATCATTAAATGCACCAAATCAAAATTCTGGAAGAAAAAAAAAACAATAAATTAAAGAAGATGCCCTCATTTTGATACTAGTGGGTCAAAAATTAAACATGGATTATGATTAGGAGTCACAGGTCCAAACATAGGAATTTCAAAAGTTCTAAATAAAAATCTTCTGGTAATATTGTAGCTATAGTTGACTGTGCTCAGCTACGTCAATGGAGCAAAATCTGTACTTCCTCAGGCATGAAAGTCAAACTAAAGGCTCTAAGAGTTATTTTTTGAGATTTGGATTTGCAAGCAACCCCTTCAGCAACTAGCTAGACATACATAATAGATTAAATTAGTCTGAGTACCTAGATACAAAGAAATAGAAAAGAGGAGATCTTGGGTTCTACTGATTGAATGTGCAATATCAATGTCAGCCATCACTGATTGGGCTTATTGCGTTATCAGTTATTAGTATTATCATATAGATTAAATAAGATTTTTAGAGGAGCTTTTTAGTAGAATTGATAATTAACCCTTGTAGCTTTTGGCATTTCTTCGCATAGGTTTATACATTTCAATCTCATTGAATCTTGACAATGGCCATGTAAAGACTTTTTTAATGAACTTTGTTAAGTTATCGCTTTGCATTTTGATTAACACATTCCATCGTCGGTTTTTGAATCGTCTATATTTTTCTGTTTCCAAGTTTTTCAAGCTGATATTTGAATTTAAAAAGTAATCCTTTCTATAATTAAAGATTTTGCAAGATTTTAGTTCAACTAAAACATCTGACTAGCTGAATAAATTTCATTTGGGTTAACAATATATTCAGATTCAGGGTTATAAACAAAAGATAAGCTTATTGATTACAGTGTTGAAAGCTCCAAGCCACTCAATTGTCATGTACAAAAAAATATAAGAAGGACGAAATAAAAATTACTTGAAAGAATCCAGAGCGTATAAGCCGCTTTAAAAGAAATTAATAATAAGCTTAACTGAGAAATTCTTCCAATAACATCCCTTATATGAACATCCTAATTGGACTCAAGGGAAATCAACTAGAAATTCGAGTCAAAGTAATCTAAATTGGAATTGAGTGTACCAATAAGTTTGTTTCAATTTTGAAATAGACCATAGCAATTCCTAAGATTCTTTACAGGGTATCCACAATCCACAATCTCTATTCAAAAAAGAAAACTGCAAATTCTAGAGGTCAGTTTATGTCAATTTTACGTAAATTACCTTGTTTAAAAATGCTTGCTAATGGTGCTAGAGCTTTTTAAATTAAACATCGGTTTAACTTGACAATTTCAAAAATTTATTAATTCCGAAAGTACTGTTGCAAAAATCATGTAAGCTTAAGTTATCATGGAATTCTGAAGTCCCAGATGATATTAATAATAGATTTTTCGATTGGCTTAAAGATGTCCAACTTTTAGCCAATATAAAAATACCCCGATGGATTCGTCCAAATGTCAAAGAAGAGTGCGAACAAGAGAGTTTGCATTTATTTTGTGATGCCAGCCAAGAAGCCTATGCTGCGGTAATTTTTTTTCGAACTGAATCCATGAATTCAACACCCATCAAGCTCATCCAGGCTAAAAATAGAGTATCCCCAATTAAAACCATATCAATTCCACGTTTATAACTCTTAGCTGCCACAATAGGAGCCAGAATGTTGATGTCTGTAAGGAAAGAATTCGATGATGATGTCCCTGTTTATTGCTGGACCGACTCTTCTACAGTTTTAAGTTGGATTAAACGAAATAAAACTTAGAAGCCCTTTGTGAGAAATCGTATATCAGAAATACACAAATTAACCAAAGAAGAATTCCAGGATCTATGAATCCGGCAGAACTACCTTCCAGAGGTTGCTTACCCAAGAAACTACTGGAAAGTAAATGGTGGAATGGCCCCATATGGTTACTAGAACCCACAGAGAAATGGTCCAATCAAACTTATGTTATAGACGAACAAGCTATTTTAGAAGAGAAACAAAAAGGAGTTACATCATTAATTATTCATAATAAAATTGACATTTAAATTGTAAATTTCAATGAGAATTGCCATACACAGCTTTCTATCATTAGAAGAATTGTTGGAATCAGAAAAAGTAGTGATTAAGTTGATCCAGCGAGAAACTTTTGGAAATAATGAAGAATACTTAAAGAATTTGGTACACTTTAAAGATGAATTTGGAATTCTCAGAATAAAAACGATGATAAGCGAAAGAGAAGATAGACACTCTTTTAGATATCCGAGAAATGGCCCAATCAAACTTATGTTATAGACGAACAAGCTATTTTAGAAAAGAAACAAAAAGGAATTACATCATTAATTATTTATAATAAAACTGACATTTAAATTGTAAATTTCAACGAGAATTGCGAAATTTACACAGCTTCCTATCATTAGAAGAATTGTTGGAATCAGAAAAGTAGTGATTAAGTTGATCCAGCAAGAAACTTTTGGAAATAATGAAGAATACTTAAAGAATTTGGTACACTTTAAAGATAAATTTAGAATTCTCAGAATAAAAACGATGATAAGCGAAAGAGAAGATAGACACTCTTTTAGATATCCGAGAAATGGCCAAATCAAACTTATGTTATAGACGAACAAGCTATTTTAGAAAAGAAACAAAAAGGAATTACATCATTAATTATTTATAATAAAACTGACATTTAAATTGTAAATTTCAACGAGAATTGCGAAATTTACACAGCTTTCTATCATTAGAAGAATTGTTGGAATCAGATAAGTAGTGATTAAGTTGATCCAGCAAGAAACTTTTGGAAATAATGAAGAATACTTAAAGAATTTGGTACACTTTAAAGATAAATTTAGAATTCTCAGAATAAAAACGATGATAAGCAAAAGAGAAGATAGACACTCTTTTAGATATCCAGCTGTACTGCCAAAGAAACATATTGTTGTGGCACGCCTCATTGTTGATCGACATGTTAGACTATTTCACGCTGGAGTTCAAACTGTCTTAGTAAGTCTAAGAGAAGATTACTGGATTCTTGGAGGGAAGAAAACCGTCCATTCTGCACTTTCTAAATGTTTGATTTGTAAAAAACAACTACCAAAAAAACTTCAAGCACCTCCGAAACAACTACCTAGAGATCGAGTTAGAGACGCATCCGTATTTGAAGTGATAGGAATTGATTCCGCTGTACTATTGTTTGCTAAAGACAAAGGAAAGATTTGGATTTAAATTTTTACCTGTGCAATCTATCGAGCTGTCCATTTTGAGATGATTACATCTATGTCCACCGATTGTTTTTTATTGGCTCTTTGTCGTTTCATTGCTAGACGAGGTCGACCATCCATAATCTACAGCGATAATGTACCAATTTTGTTGGATCAGAAAATGTCTTCTCTGAGCTAGATTGGAACACAATTTGCAAGAAAAGTACTGCTGAAAGAATAAATTGGAAATTTAATCCTCCTTCAGCAGCCTGGTGGGGAGGATGATGGGAACGGTTGATAAGGATCTTAAAATAGTTATTAAGAAAGATTTTGGGTAAAGCACTCTCACTTATGAAGAATTAACGACTATCATCAACGTCCTTTAACATATTTGTCTGAAAACCCAGATGATTGGCAACCGTTGACTCCTGCAATGTTTCTGCACGAAGTCACAGAAGTAGAAGTACCAGATATGGACCAAGTAGAAGCCCAGGATTTGAGACGCAGATATAGATATCGACTAAGACTGAGAGATGAACTAAGACGTCGGTTTAGAAACGAATATTTAAGTATCCTTGCTATAAAGAAGAGGAAAAACCAATTAAAAGTATAATTCTCAAAGTTGGAGATTAGGGCTTAATAGAGAATGAAAATGCCAAAAGATTTATGTGGTTAAAGTGGGCGAAATCCCTTTATTATGGCTAAATTGTAAGTTACAATTATGTCAATATAAAGATGTTTTGCCCATTCATATTTACATTTATTGAATGAATCATACTGATTTTGGAAATACTTAAATAAGTACTATTTCTAAAAATTCGTCTATGCACACATAGTCCAATGGACGTCCACTTTAGATCTATTTGAGGGTCAGGACGTCCATATCCGGGCATCCAGTGTACGTCCGTTTATGCTAATTAAATTGACAGCTGAATATCGATACCCAGAGAACGCCTGTTTTTGGACTTAATTTTAAGTTTAGTAGTATTTTGACGTCCAGTGGACGTCCATCTTAGGTCCTTATTTATTAAGCCTACCAGATAATACCCATTTATATATACTTCTTTTTTTTAATATAACTGGTCATTAAAAATTGACAAATTGAATCCATTGCATTTCATTCTATCAGCGGAAGTTTGAAATCTTATTCAATTATAACTGTATCTAGTAAACAGTTTTCAAGTGATTCCTTGGTCGAGCTCGTCTAGCGATTGAAAGCGTAAAACGATAATGGATGTATCGTGAGTTCGATGCCTGCTCAGGTCAAGCGATTTTTAATAAAAAATAAATAAATGGTGTATAGTGTGTGGTGAGTTGCGGTTCTGTAAAAAAAGTGGGGATGTGGTCTCAATGGAAATATAATCGAGGACGTTTTTTGAATGTCCAGTATTCGACGTTTAAATATATTCCAGAATTGGACGTCCTCTGAATGGTCAAAAGTGTGCCATTTGTATACTTCACTGGACGTCCATTGGATGTCGGAAGTCCAGAAAACTCATTTTTGGACGTCTAGACATCCAAAATTGTATATGTAATGGAGTCCAATGGACATATTTGTATTGTCTGGGTGATAGCCAGGCCCGGTATTTAACTCTAAATACATAAACCTTAAATGACATCTGGTTTAACTTGGCGAGAAAACACTTGTTTCTACAGAAATGAGCGATAAACTTGAAAGTCCTTTTAATATAATATAAAGTACTTTGTAAACCTAAAAGCTTTGAAAATATATGCACATTGCAAATATTTAGTTAAACCTCTCAAACTTAATGTCTTTTTAATTGTTACCTAAATTTTTTTTGGCACCCTTAATTTTATTTACCTTATTTTTACTTAAGGAAAAGGTAATTTAAATATGGGCCTTTTATTAGATTTTTAATAAATAAACCAAATATTAAACAAATTTTATAGATAAATTATAAAATAATAAACGTCTTTTACTTTTATAACAAATAATTAATTATTACATAATTAATTATATTTTGGTGCCGAAATTTCACCATTGCTATTAACCCACTACTTCAATGTAATTAAATCACATTGCGCATGGACTATAAAATAATTTCAGATAATTTTCCAAACTATTTCGCTCAGTGTAGAAAATAAGCATGTTTTCTCAGCGTGCTAAGTTGTGTATCAATCAAAGTCATGCTGTGAAAAAGGTACATCCGATATCAAAGGCACCGACAGCTACTGTCACTTCTCCTTGATCGGTATTCTTGGGTTAAACCCCCTTTACGCTTTTAACAGTATAATTGAATTTCAAAGAAATCATTTATCTGGATGGGAGAATGAAGAGGTTTCCTGCACATTTTCAATTGATACGCCTATGAAGCGGTATTCTTTGATATTTTTGATTTAATTATTTTGTAATGGTTGCCATAATTTTTGAAAAAACGTCAAGATTAATTTTTATGATAACTTTGTCAAATTTAAATAGATTTTGTAATATTTCTTCAATAAAGTTTTTTGAAGCAGTTTCTCGACCATTAGATCTTTACTTTAATAGGTTATACTAAAGAAAGCAACAGCTAATATTTGACTTATACAGGGTAGCTGTTAAAGATGGAACCAAACCTATAGTGCTTAAACGGTTCAACATACAAAATCCAAAATTTTAGAATTTCAACTAAATATATTTGCGCATATTTTAGCCTAAAAATTATTTTTCTTATAATTACAAAATTTTAAGCATCTTGATTTTTTTAAATTGCAACATAGGTCATGTAATATACCATTTGAAAGGGTTTAACACCCTGATTACAAAAATGTATCACACATGGGGTTTAAACACAACAGAAAGGATATTATTTTAAAAAATCAAGATGGCGGCCATGCTTAAAATTTTGTAATTATAAAAAAATAATTTTTGTGCTAAAATATGCGCAAATGTATTTAGTTGAAATTTTGAAATTTTAGGTTTTGTATGTTAAACCGTTTAAGCACTATAGGTTTGGTTCCATCTTTAACAGCTATCCTGTATATTATACTTTATTTATATTACCTTTTAACATCTTGAGGAAATCTGTAAAATGAATGTGCACCGATATAAGATTTATTATTGCAGTCTTTATAACTACAAACAAATCCAGCTTTTTTTTGTCTTCTTCCATAACACACACTGTCATTGAAGCACAACAAAATCAGAAAATAGTCAACGATAAAAATATTTAAGCAAAATAACAGAAACAACAGAATAATAATAATAATTATGAATTCACGGGTTCGATACCACCGCCCGTGCCGTTCGCTACTGCACTGAAAGTTTTGGTGTAGAATATCGGTGTAGGTGTGCTTGAAGGTCACGAGCCCTCGAAGATCACGTGATCGGAGATATCCTTCTGGTTATTATTTATTCTTGTGGTTAAGATGTGTGACTATTGCTAATCGCGCTCTCGGCGCAGGTGTTCTTTTATTTGCAGAGCCGCTTTAGGTGTATATTTAATTAAGAGACGTACGCTAACCAAATTTTAATTAATTAATTCATCTTATTTCATTTTTATTGTTAATTTCGAAATTATTTAGTAAAGTTATTACATTCAAAACAATGTGCGTACTTACAGATACAACAAACTGCCAATAATCTTGCAGCGCTGTCCGGTGGATCACATTCGGGAAAAAAAGGCTTCATGACGTATTGGCTGAAAGTCAAGGCTACAATAGCCTGAGAACAAGGTCGTACGATCATGCATTCTATCCATAACCTGATGAAGGCGACGAACGGGCCGAAAGTTTCCATGATGTATGCATAGTCGGCGCCGCTTTTTCGAATCATCGTACCCAATTCGGCATAGCAATAAGCACCCACCTATAAAAAATAAAAGTCATTGAATAATTTTTTTCCTACAACCACATACGAAAATGATAGTTTGCACACTTATTTGTTCGATGTAGCTTATATCACACGCGTACTGAAATATATATCACACACGTATTGAAAAATAGCAAAAGATTCATGTATTGAAAAGTAAAAAAAATATCGTCCTATGACCTGTGACACGTACGTCAAAGTTATCATTATAATTGTCATTACAAATTTTTTTATAATATCAAATGAGCAATAAAGTTTTTTTCTACGAACTCTTACAAAAAGACATCTTTCGCCACAGGATAGTTTCAGCGAAAACTTGATTTCCGTCACTAGTGAGAAAAAATCCCATAACGTTTACTTTCGTCTCTAGTGACGAAAGTAAGTTGTTACATATTTTCATATATCAGTCGCCTCGTATAATATTTTGGCAGCTTATAATTATTAATAATGAAATAAAAAGATGCTCATTAAATTCTATATGCGTTTTTACCTAAACTTTAATGAATTAAAGATAAAATAAAAATGTATAAAAATAGTGCAAATTAAACCAATCTACATCTAGTTTCCTGGTTTTCATTTGTTTATTTGAAGTTTTATCACTTTTGAGAACTGTCAGTTTCAGTTCGTCCTAAATTTAACACATTTTCATGATGTCTGAGTCAGAAAGCAATTGTACTCCCCCACAAATTATTTTTAAAGCTGAAGAAACCTCTTCAGATTTATTACCGGCCAAATCAAAAAAAGAGATATGAAGAAATTTATATCAAATCATTTTCGGAAACTGTACTACTAGCATACTTTGGAGAAATATGTTTATGGTCCATTTATTCGATGCTAAGAACTACACTCTCTGTTAAAAATGATGTCGATATTAGTAAATATCCGAAGTTACGTTCGCTTTTGAAAAGAAAATCTGATGGTTTTAAAAGCCAAAAATCCAAAATTTTTTCGCCTGAAGACATAAAGACTTTCCTAAAGAATGCACCTGACTATAATTATTTAATAACAAAGGTAACGGAATTATTATTTTTATTTTAACAAATACTTAATACATAACTACTAATATTTGTAGGTAGCATTAGTTTTTGGATTATCTGGCGCTTGTCGTTGCCACGAACTAAAAGATTTAACAATAAGCGATGTAAAGGATACTGGAAGTATTCTGTTAGTTAAAATCCGTAACACAAAAATAAAAGTTCCGCGTTCTTTTCATATTTCTGGACCCTTTTATGATATTTCTAAAAAATATATGAGCCTACGTCCCGCAAACATGGATCAAATTAATTCAAGATTCTTTATTAACTATCAGAATGGAAAGTGTAGCAGACAGGTTGTTGGAATTAATAAAATCAGTAAATTTTCTAACGAAATTGCTCAGTTTTTAACGCTTCCGAATCCTCAAGATTACACTGGGCACTGTTTCCGCAGAACATCCGCAACGCTATTAGTGGATGCAGGAGGTGACTTGCTTCTGTTAAAAAAGCACGGTGGTTGGAAATCTAGTAGTGTTGCAGATGGATATGTTGATGAATCCACGAACAGTAAAAACCTAATACAAACCAAAATTTTACAATCTGTACAAAATAAGGAAACTTTTAGTTCATCCGATTATGGCGCATCATCATCTGAAATGACATTTAACAGTAGAACAAATATGTCGGCATCTACCTCAATAAATAAAAAGCTTGAGTGTGATACCCCCATAATTTTGAACAATTGTTCAAATATAACAATAAATCAATATTTAAATAATAAAATAATATTTCTGAAATATTTACTTGTTGGTTAATTTTTTGTTATTCCTAACACAAAATAAAGCATTTGCTAACTTTTGTTTTTTTTTTTAATTTTAGTAGGTACCTACATGACATAATAGAGTTCGTAGAAAAAGTATAGTGTTTTACTCGTCGAAAATTTATTATTTACGTCACTCGTGAAACAATATACTATTATATAGGTTTTTAAAATTATAAAATAATAATAAAACATGTTTACTAGACTGGGCCAAAAAAATTGACTATTTTTTTTTTTTGTCATTCAGGATGATAAAAAAAATCATGAAAATTTGAGCCCTTAATATTAATTTTAAGAGGTCTATCATCGCTATTTTTGATTTTTAGTCATTCAAAACATTAAAGTGAAAAAAATTCCTTTTCTATAAAGGTACTTCTGGAAAAAAAATAATTTTCTGCTTCTTTTCTATAGTGTTATTTTCGGTTTCAAATACGACAATGTGAATTTTTGAGGTGTTGTTTATGTTAGTATTTACAATACACCTTTCTGTAGGTGTCTATTAGTTTGAAAATATTTAAAGTTTATTGTGATTTGTGTTCAAATACATACTAGTGTCTACAAGATAATTCAAACTTTAAAATTAAGTGTTATAAAGATTATTGGTTAATGCATTTAAAAGAAAGTGAAGGAAAACTTATTCTTCATGGATATTGTGATTATACTAAACCCAACAGGTAAGTTTAAAGTTTAAAAATTTGAAAAATTACAGTCCTGTCGCAACAAGAAATAAATAATTTCATAGAAACAGCTCCAGATGAAATATATTTATTTACAAAGGTGAGCAAGTTTAATATCTATTATTTTGTTCAATGTGTGAGTATTTTTTATTATTTAAGGTTGCACTTATCCTTGGAATATCAGGAGCTTGCCGAAAGCAGGAGCTCACACAGTTGACTATAAACGATATAGAGGATTTGGGTACAGTAGCTGTGATAAAAATAGATAACACAAAAACCAAGTATCCATAAAATTCACGATTACTGGACCGTTTTATACAATATTTAAAAAATATGCCAATCTTAGGTCACCAACCACTCAACTAAGGTTTTTTTTTAATTATAAAAATAAAAAATGCACCCAACAAGTAGTGGGTATAAACAAAATAGGCATTGTGCCACAGGGAGTGACAAAGTTTTTAAATCTTCCGAATCCAGAACAATATACTGGCCACACCTTTAGGCGTTCTTCTGCAACAATTTTGGTAGATGCAGGAGCAGATCTTGCTGCATTAAAGAGCCACGGGGGATGGAAATCCTCTACCGTTGCCGAGCAGTACATAGATGGCTCTGCAACTAATAGATTATTTGCTGCTAATAAAATAATGAACACCATTCGCAGCACAAGCACATTCAACGAAGAAGTTGCATGTAAAAACATTGAACAATACTCTGAACAAAATGCTGAAACTACACAACCCAGATACAGTGCAAGTTTGTGTACTTCATCTATACAGCAACAAATTAATGTAGATCCACAAGAGACAATAAACACATATATTAGGGGAACCACTGAGAATAATAATAATGCAACATTACAAAATCCACTGCAATTCAGTTAATATTATAATAACAATTTTACTTTTAACTTTTATAACGTCCCAGAAAAAAGTAAAACAAAATTATTAATAATTATTCAGTTCATACAGTTTAGTTACAAACATTTCCTAATTATTATATTAGTTATCTCTAGTTTAGTTACAAATATTTTTTATCCATTCCATTAGTTATCTCTACTTTAGATGTAAATTTTTATAAATTATTCTGTTAGTATCTCTGCTATAATTATAAATGTTTCTTATTGTTATATTAGTTCTTGTTCTGCTTTAGTTATAAATATTTTTTGAACTGTTACAAAATGAAAAATATTTTGGAAGATTTTTTTTACTTTTCAACACATGTGTTGATATTCTTTTCAACACATGTGTGATATACTTTTCAGTACATGTGTGATATGGTTTAATTGACTTTCTCATTTAAAAAAAAAGACGTTTTTTTAAAGATTTTGTCTGTGGTCGTAGGAAAAATAGTGTACACAACTCGTTGGAAAGTGTATTTCTCGCACTCGTTTAGTTTCTGCACTCGCCGCTACGCGGCTCGTGCTAAGCTTCAATTCGTGCGAAATGTTGCACTTTCCACACTTGTTATGTAATATAAGTACTATTTTAATATTTATCGTAGATTTATAAAATATTTCCATTAGTCTTAATTTCAAACTAAAACTTATGTTTTACTATCCAAACATGCATTTCAACTCTAGGAAATATTAATTTTTCCTGCAAAAAAAATTTTTTTTCATGTAATTACATGTAATCTAGGTCACGTTACTCGCTTTCGATTTATTCACAATTCCAGGATTCCAGGTCAAAGGTCGAAGCGCCATTATCCGTTAGAAGGGAACCAGTTTGATTTCAAAGAGAATTCACAAGTTGAATTTCTAAAGAAGTCTGGGTTGGCATATGGAATATGAATATAAAGCAGACCCTTAACCTTCAGACTGAAAAATTGCACGTTTTGGAGACAGGCGAGATATTCATAATTTTGCATGATGGAAAATATAAAATACGAAATTACGAAATTAAGCACCCAAAAGTACTGGGCGTGAAAAAACTTCTGTAAGATAGAAGACACTATATATTTATTATCATCGTGTTTATCACTATGAACGGCATTTCGAAGGGTGCCACTGCCAAAAGAATGATATTTAACTCAAAATACTTGTTATACTCTTCACACAGTAGTCTGTAAAGAGTATTATAGGTTTACTTGTCAGTCCGATGTCACTTTTTTGTCAGCACGATAAGTCTAAAATAAAAATAGTAGTTTGTGCAACAAGAGTGGATATGGACAAGCCATTTATGACTTTTACTAATTTATAAAATAAACTAAAATAAAATAAAAAAAGAAAAAAATTTCATTTTATTTTTCGTCATCTGAAATTCGAACTCAAGTCTTCCGTATGAAAGGCAAGAACGCTGACCACAGGACCATCTACGAGTTTATTATTTTTTGCTTTAATACTGGTAATTAAATTGACTTCATATAGTTTTATTTAAATTAACAAATTATTTATAATTATAGACGAAATAAAAACAGAAATGCTATTATTTACCGATTCTACACAAGAATAACCCATTTTGTATCTCAATAACTAAAAAATATACTGACAATTAGTTTGACAGAATTTTAAAAATAATAGCAGTCGGT